TGATGGGAAACTCACCTGCCTCATCCTTTATGGGCAGTTTCCTGAGCAGCAGCTTGGGCTCAGCAGCACCCCCGCACCCCACAGGTCCTGCATCATCCCCATCAGAGCCGGCCTTCCGTGGCCCCCACTCCGGCACCTCCCAGATCTGGTTCTCGCATTCCCATGAAGGTAAAGAGGCTTGGTGGTGGCACTAATTCTGCCTTGGCGAGGGAACAATTGCCATATCTAAAGGATATTTTCTAGAAATAACTTGGTCAGTGCTCCAGAGGGACTGTGAAATTTTCAGGTCTGTTCATATTCTGTGCTCCCCGTCATTCCAAATTATTCATCAAAGGAGCCAAAGTTCTGGACTATTCGCATTCTGCTATCACCATAAATTATGCAAATCAGTAAATACATTCAAATGTGCTTAATTTGCATAAATGTGCTAAATATTTGTGTGTGCATATATGTGCATGTGTAGAATCTGCAAAACTGTTAACTGTTAAGGCAGGCGGACAGGTATGGGTACGTGAAAATCATCTAGAGAGAACATAACTGAGTATAAAGGAAGGGAGGGGTACTTCAGCAGAAACTCCACCTCTTTTGAAGATGCCGCATCACAGTTTTTTTGTACACACCCATCTATTTTAAAAAAGGCAATGGAGGTTCTCAGTATTCTATGCCAGATTCCATACCTGTGGAATCACAGAAGACAAAATAACCCTGACTAGGAGGATCCCCATACTCTTGGACAACAACAAGCCAGGAAACCTTATCTCATTTGTATTCTGAGCTTAGTTTCAAACAACTCCACCCACACCCTCAGGAAGGAGGGGGACAGATAAATTTTCCAGAGAGGAAGATTCTAGAGTACACGGGAGCCAATATAACAAGCCTCAGTTATTTGAAACTCTGTTTGAGGGGGTGGGGCGTGTGGAAGAATTCCAGTGGGGCAAGATGGAGGCTGTGGGTGAGGATGAAGCTAGAGATGAATGGTTGCTCCCCCCCCCCCAAAAAAAAAAGTAGCCCTTCGACATTGAGGGAATTGCCGAACAAAGACTTCTTGAGGTCACTGCAATTATGGCTGTCCCCTTCTCCATCTCCACCCACTGTCCACAGATCACAAAATGACTATTTATACTGTTCCGCTTCATGTAGCACAGAGGTAGAGGCATTTTCCTATCTAGAGAGGTAAGCTAAAAGGAATCAGTGGGGCAGTTTGCATTTTCTGTTCTCTCTTAAGGCCCTCCTCCCCGTCCTTTTGGCTTCCAGAAATTTCCTCGGAATGTCCCAGCTCCCACCCCAATTTCTCAGCAAATGAACTGGGGAATTATTTCTCCATAGTTCTGACCAATACAAGGCATCTGGGTGCCTCCTTTCCCTGCTCCAGCTCTGTCATAACTCCTCACTCCCTTCCCCAAACTTCCAGGTTATCTTGGCCCAGAATGTCCCTTCTGCTCCTTTCCTATGAATGTCCCTCAGTACACAAATGCAGTCACCCTCTTGTGCCAGTCTCAGCTAGTGGATACAAATGAAAGTGTGGTCCATGCCTTCCATACATAACTTGTACCTCCAAGAGTGCCTGGCCCCAAGCCTATGGCCTCCTAAATAGCAGGTCTTCCTGATCCCTGTAAGGGTCTGTTCCTAGCCTCCACAACTGTGCTATGATGCTGGCTGTACAGCCTTTTTCTCCTCCGACTATTTCAGCTCTTCAGAATGCTCTGTCTGTCTCTTGCTCTCCCTCTCCCTCTCTCTCTCCTTGTGGTGACTGGCTGTTGTGGTGCCCTTCCCCCAATATCCTCCCCTCCGTGTGAGATGCAGAAAGTTAAAAGCGTGAGCGGCAAGGTGCTACTGGCACAGTGCCCTGGCAGCCAGCCCAACTGCTAGTTTGAAAGGCTGCCAGCTGGCTTCCGGCACGCCAGGGCTGCTGAGGGCGGGGTGCAGGCAATGCTGTCGGCATCACGCTGACGGGCGGCCTGTCCGGGTGGTGGGGGTGGGGTGGCATGGCTGAAAGTCCTGGTGTGTGGCTGACTGGGAGATTAGTTGGGCAGACACGGGGTGGGCTGGCTTCCTTCTCCTGCAAGGTACCCTAGAGAGGAGTCAAATGCTTAATGGGAACACTCAGGGGAAGGAGAGAGTTTTGCAACTGGCCTGACACTAGACTGTTTAGTGCTACCTCTGGGGTTTTAGCCTGGGAAGCTGTGAGTCACAAGTGTGGAAAAATCTTGTCTTTGGATTCAGCTGTGTCTGAAGAGATCCCTGTCAGGGTATTTGGGCTACATCTATTATTATTAGTCATCTGTATTGTACAAACATATTTATATATTTGCTTTTCCTGTGCAACGTGTTTCCCTTTTCTATTTTTAGGTTTACAATTGTGTTGGGAGGAAGGGCCTATAACTACTTAGTAAGACATGCTAAAAACAAAACGCACAACTACTCAGTACTTCTGGATGCACATATCTATTATTCCCATCATTTAAAGAGCAAATACAGTTTTCTTGAGGAAATGATATTTTTCCTCATTATGAAAGCAAAACAGGTCTATTCAGAATCCTGCTCAGGTATATTCAGTGGGACTTACTTCCAGGAAAGTGTTCATCGGAGGATAATGCTGTATGTGTGTTAGTTTAATCATGCCAACATTATCGTGTTTTCTTAAAAACAGACTTATAGTTTGGTATATTAAGTTTTTTAAAAAGGCAGTGTTAGTTTTTGAAGTGGTATAGCAAACATTTCTGTACCTTTAGCTATAAACACACATTGTCTTTATCTTTAGTGTTAAACACATATTGCTTTTGCAAACTTTTTTGTAGCAGGTCATTACTTCATCTTACTTTACAAATGAGGGAGCTATAAGGTTGACGTGCACAAGAGCACCAATAGGGATGGGAGATTCCTCTGAGCTCACAAAGGAGCTACACGGGAGAGTGGGAAATCGACCCAGAGCCTCTGAGCCTTAACATCCACAACCCAGGGCTAGCACTTGAGACCACATTTGGCAGATTCAGTAATGCTCACCTTGACACCAATCAAAATACTTGACTCTCTCCTGCTTTTCTCCTAGTTAGAACCCTTAATGGTGGCATTTGACACTTGACCAAGATGCAGACTGGCAGGAAGCCAGGGTTTACAATCCCGATAAAGACAGTCAGTGCCTGTGCGTATTTCATGCACATGTGGTAGTTAATCTGCACAGGCACCAAATTGGTTGTATTGTGTACCTCCAGATGATTCACAGTCTCCAGAATCTCAGCCTGTATGTTAATATTTTAAAGAAACCAAGTTTATACCCTCTGGATAGCAGCAGGACTGAGAAAAGGACTTAACAATGGTCAGAGTATAGATCTTCAAATCACTCTACCGCTCTTTGTTCCTTCTTCATGGTACTATATATTGCTGACCTGCAATCCCAGTTATTCGTCTCTGTGTTCATTCCCTTTGTCTTTGTCAAAACATTCAGAATTCTTCAAAAAACTGAAGTATACAAGCAGAATATGTTATTGAAAAGCATGCAAAACATATGCACATGCGTTCAGTTTGCAAACCTTATTTTGATTGCAAAATTTTAGCTACCTTGGTGCAGAATTTGGATTTATTTTCTATTTATTTTATTTTATTATTTAGGCATCTAGCCTTGTTAAATCACTGCCATTTCCTCTGGGGCAGGCCTGCTGTTATGAATTAGGCAGGGGTTTATACTTTTCACACGACTGTGCAACTAATATTCAAGGCATCCATGCTATGCCTACTGAAGGATCCAGTGAACTGCATACATCAGAATTGTCTTATGCTATGATAGTTTGGATTGTTGTCTGTCTTGATGTTACTCCCCCCCCCTTTTTGTTCTTGCCCTATTTCATTTCTCTCTGCAAGGTGTTCCATAGAAGTATCTTACACCATCATATGAGCTCGCTGGCACAGTGGCAGCAATTTGGAAATACCCTTTTCCTCCAGAATCCCTGCTGCTTTGAAACCCCAGTCATTCTTAGCTATTGGCAATGGGTGGCTCTTAATACAGCTGTGGCAAAAGTCTGACCTAACAAAGGTTTTTTTATTCCCCCTTGGCAATCTTGTTTAGACATATGCGTAGAGACAGGTCAGATGAAGGGCCCAGCCAGTGACTTTGCTTCTTGGCCATTATATTGTGACATTGGCATTTCATTCCTCACTGCCTCTTGTTTTAGCTCCAGGTTACCCGAGGTTCTCTGGGAGCTTAGCATCCACTTTTCTTCCTATGAGCCACTTGGATCACCATGGAAACAGCAATGTCCTGTATGGCCAGCACCGTTTCTATGAAAGCCAGAAAGGCAAGTGTTGGGGCTTGGTCAGAAGGTGGGGAATGTGTGGGTGTGCCCCCAAGGGATGGGAGAAGAACTGTGGAACTGACCTCTCACCAAGGGCGCAAATAGAGTGGACAATTGAAAGGAGGGAAAGAGAAAGAAAAAAATTATCTGCCTGGATTAAAGCATTTAGGATTCAGTACCTGTTGCTAATTCTACCTCCCTGTCGCATCCTCCAGGTGTAGTGTTTCATCCTCTGCTTGCCAAGTGGCACAATTCTTGAAAGAGGGCTACTGCAGTATGCTGGCAGAGGAGGTTTTAGAGTGTGGGGAGCCAAATTAGATAAGTCGTGAGAGGCCCGCGAGACTTGTGGGGGGACCCCCCCCCCAATGACTCCAGGCCCTACCACCCACCTATTTATTTATTTATATTTATTTATTATTATATTTCTACCCCGCCCTCCCCACGAATGGGCTCAGGGCGGCTCACAAAATGGGCACCATGTGCCAATATAAAACAGTAAAACACATAAAACAACCATTATCAGAATAAAGTGCTCAGCGGTGTTATTGAGCATTCAGTCAGAGCAAGATGGTAGCCTGTAGATGAAGCTTCGAGCCCAATTTGGCGGTGCGGTCAGTCGAAGCACTGAGGCTCGATATTGTAATGGGCCATCCCAATAACCCATGTTCCCATGACGTAGTTGGTGGTGGCGGCAGCGGCTCCTAATTAAAAGCCTGGCGGAAGAGCTCCGTGTTGCAGGCCCTGTGGAACTGTGAGAGGTCCCGCAGGGCCCTGATCTCCTCCGGGAGCTCGTTCTACCAGGTAGGAGCCACCACTGAGAAGGCCCTGGCCCTGGTTGCCACAAGCCTGGCCTCCCTGGGGCCTAGAATCATTAATCGCTGTTGGGCCCCCGACCATAGTGCTCTCTGGGGTATATATGGGGAAAGGCGGTCCCTCAGTTATGTCGGACCCTGGCCATGTAGGGCTTTAAAGGTAAGTACCACCACTTTGACGCTAATTCAGAAAGCTATAGGCAGCCAGTGCAGCGCTTTCAGCACAGGTCGGATGTGCTCCCATCTAGGGAGGCCCATCAGAAGCCTGGCCGCAGCATTCTGCACTAACTGCAGCTTCCGGATTTGCGACAAAGGCAGCCCCATATAGAGAGCATTACAGTAGTCTAATCTTGAGGTGACCGTCGCATGGATCACCGTAGCCAGGTCGTCGCGGTCGAGGAAGGGGACCAACTGCCGAACCAGCCGAAGATGATAGAAGGTCGATCTGGCAGTGGCTGCCACCTGGGCCTCCATGGTTAAGGAAGGATCCAGGAGCACACCCAAACTCCTAACCTCCGACGTGGGCACCAAAGGCACCCCGCCGAAGGTCGGGAGAAGGAGCCCCGTCCCCAGACCGCTCCAGCTCAGGCACAGGATCTCCGTCTTCGCTGCAGTGACAGCATCAGCATCTGGGAGCTGCTCTGAGCCCAGAGCAGCTCTTGGTGTCCTCCACCACTGCAGCTGGCCCCAGAGGCTTTCCTGGAGTCCTCTGCCATGCAGCCAGGCTTCGGGTGTTTCCCAGAGTGCTCTGCCATGGCAGCCAGGCAGGGAGCTGCTCCCAGAGTGCTCCGCTTGCATGGCTGGGCCTGGAGCCTCTCCTGCCATCCGCCATAGCAGTAGCCGGGCCCTTAGCTGCTCCTGGCATCTTCCGCCATGGCAGCCAGACTTGGAGTTGACATCGCTGGCGGCAGCCATCACCAGCTCAACTGGTAAGTGCGTTGTCTACGCATGTGTGAACATTTAGGGGAATTTAAAAACTCAGTGTATTTTTTAAACTTTTTGCATTTTTCTGTGAACCTGGGAAGTACCCCAAGTTTGCAGAAAAATACGTTTAGCATCAGTGTGGTCCCAATCCACAGATTTAAAGATCTGCAGACAGGGGCCACACATCACTATTAGCTATATAGATGTTTGGGCTGCAACAGGGAGGCTAGTTGTATAGGATGCTGTCTCTAGAAGACCGATTCTAATCACTTGTAGTTTTCCACAGACAATTTCTATCTGCGGAACCTGCCCGCTCAGCCCACCCTGCTGTCAGCCAATCACAACTTCCCCAGCATTGCCCGGGCAGCACCTGGCCACCCTATTGGCTCCTGTAGCCGGGACCGAGAGGCTGGCTCTGGACAAAAGTGCCACAAGGACTACGAGCGCTTTGTGCTGTCAAAAGACAAAGGGTCCAAGGGAGAGGCCAAGGAACGACCAGCTGACGAAGAGGCCAAGGAGCGGCACAAGTTGGTGATGCCTTTGACACCTGAGGGGAACTGCAAGGACGGGCCTCCCCAGCGGGGCTCTTGTGACAGCCGGCCCAAACACCTGCCCTCGTGCCTGCTGAGCTCCAAGGTGCTGAATGGTGACACGGGAAAAGCTGTGCTCCCCAGCTGTGGTGGTGGCATCTTGCCGCGCCACACTGGCATCCAAAGCCGTTGTACCAAGGAACTCAGCCACCATGAGCCTCCCCAGTCCTACAGTGAGTGCCTGGAGCGGCGGCAGATGCTGCACCACTCAGTCTCCTACACCGTCCCTTCTAGTCTGCCCACTGGGCCCCCAGCCCTGAGCACAACAACTGGCAGCTTCCCCTGCCTGCAGCTTCATTCCAGTCCAGATGGGATGTGCCCTCTGCAGGACAAGGCCAGCCGGGAATTACGGATCAGTGGGGCCACTTTTGTGCCTTCTGTAGGCCACCTGACTGATAAGAGCCGCTCCTTCCAGGTGCCGTCTGAGCCCTGCGAGGGCAAGGAGCGCCCCCACGATGTGGGCCCGGAGCACCCATCCACATATGGAAACCACCCTTTCTCTCACCTCAAAGCGGAGGGCAAAGCCGAGCGGCGGCTGGAGTGGCCACAGAATTCCAATGCCCGCCTCAAAGGCCTGGAGTACCTGAACAATACGGGGCCTGATGGCCATTTTGGTAGCTTGCCCCACCAACCTAAGAGTGGGCACTTTGAGATGGCACCACCTCAGGATTGTGCTCGGCCCAGCCCTCAGGAGACGTTATGTAAACTCAGCCAGTCCTGCTGCACTTTAGACAAGGCCCCCAAGGAGCCGCCAACACCCGGCACCCAGAAAGTGGCTCGAATCCGCCACCAGCAGCATTTGCAGCCAGAGATGGAGCAGGTGGGCAGCCACGCAGAGGCCAAGCGCAAATCGGTGGAGCTGAGCTCTCTGGGCTACAATGGACCACACTTGCCACCATGGCCGGTTCAGGGCCAGGGTCCTCCCTTGTCCATGGGAGAGGAAAGGAAAAATTCCTACTTGGACCCTTTCAGCAGCAGCCTTCAACAGGCCGCCCTCATGTCTCAGGGTTCGGTGCTGACCCAAGAAATGCAGACTCCCCCAGATGAAGTGTCAGCCATGAAAAACCTGCTGAAATACAGCAACCAAGCACTTATTGTGAGCCAGAAGGCTCCCTTTGTGGGCCTGGGCAGTCTCAAGGGCAGCTGTGCCCATCAGGACGGGGGCAAGTTCCTGGGGGCCAAAGGACAGCAGGAGCTGGAACGTCCAGACTGTGCCCGTAGCAGGGACCATGAGCTGGGCCATGGTGATGGTGAAGTGCGTCAGCCTCCTGTGGGCATTGCTGTGGCTGTGGCACGTCAGAAGGATACGCTGAATCGGCCTGAGCCAGCCTATGGATCTAGTTCCAGTCGCCAAGGCCGGGCCGCCATGGGCCTCAAAGGTGAGCTTGACAATGTGCAGTGGTAAGCAGCAGAGAAGGCTGAACTCCATGCAGATTTGATGATGTTGTTCTCCAGTCACCATCTGCTTTTTTATCCCCATAAACATCATGCCTTCCAGCTTCTCTTTCTTTCAGCCAAGGCCTCTCATTACATACTTGCATACGTGAGCCACACTCTTACCACTCTTCTAAAGTCCCTCACTTGGGAGCCTTTGTCCCTTTCTTCACCGTAGGTGACAATCTCACTTCAATGCACGGTGTGGGAGATGAATGCCAAAATGTTCAGCTGTGACCTATTTCCCAGTTTCTCCTTGTCCCCGACTCCTCTCCCCAGAAAAAAAGGGAAGTCCCAATCAATGTTCCCTCCAAGCTGTGGAGTCTTGTGAGCAAAAATTCTACTTTGTGAGCTACCGGCATTAAAGTGGTGAGCCACCAATTTGGCTACTGCCTAAATTACTTTGCTCTGGAGCCCTCCCTTCCTGAGCTAAGACAGAAATGTGTGAGCCGGAGGCTAAAAAACTGTGAGCTAGCTCACACTAACTCAGCTTAGAGGGAACACTGGTCCCAATGTGCTGTGGCTGCCAGAGGTTGTTACTAATTTTGCCTGTCCATTTCCCCCCTGCACAGCTGGTGCAGCACGGCCCGTGCACGTCATCGACCTGGATCCTGAGGAGGAACGGAGCCGGTTGTGTGAGGAACGTCTAGGGATTGCAGGGAGAGACCTCCTGCTCCAGTAAGGGCTCAGAACAACCCTGGGGCTGGGGCATAAAAGAATGTTGAGCTGGTGATGGGATATTATCATTGGGTCTCTGGAAGGTACTGAACAAGGCCCATATTGCACTATGGTAGAACATAGTGAAGACCCTGAGCCTGCATGGCGGGGAGGGCGGGGTATAAATGTGATTAATAAATAAAAATAAATAAATTTCTGCTGGCTGTCTTGGTGCCATGTATCAGGAAGCAGTAGGGGCTTTCTCATCCAGTGCTCTAGGATCAGCCCAAGGATGGGTGTGTTAATGTGGGAGCCGGGTTTGCCATCACTCAGGGATCCTGTCACTTCTAAACTGTGAGGATTATAGGCCTTAAAAGTTTTGCGGTGGCCTATTTTGCAACCGTTTTGCCAGGGATGGAGGATGCAGCTGATCTGCCCTTTTCTCATCTGATTTTTTGGTTTAACAGGGATAACAAGGACCTAGTGGAGTTTGCTCGGATTCACCCATCAAGCAGCTGTCCTGGAGATCTGACCCCCCACCTGATGATTGCAGGCAGTTCATCGCTGCAGGCCAGCCAGTTGGGAGGAGACCCAACTGCCCACACCCATCCAGCTCATACCCATTGGTTGCCCCGGACACGCAGCCCTTCGCTTTGGATGGGTGGACACTCATACGGTCAGTACAAATTCCACTGGAAGTAACTGTAACTAAAACTGAGCCCTTAGCTGGCCATGTGTAGCTGTTCTCCCCCCCCCAAATCTGCAACCCTCTAGGCCTGATTGCTCACCAGTTTCAGCTTCTTTCCATTCTTCCCCACTAATCCCGCTTATTTTTTAGTTCTTGCCATTTGTTGTTCCATCAGTTCTACTTGGCAACTCCTCCCCTATTGTATCTGGCCCATTCTTTAGGTGAGCAAAGGTGAGAGATGTATGAATAGCCCCGGTCTTCAGCTTCAGTTGCTGTTTGGTCCAAAGGGGGCAATCATACTCCCCAGAATGACTGACACTCAGGGCTCCTTCACATATTTCCACATGGAAAATAAAAGATGACATGCAACCGTGCCTGCAGATCATCACATATGGCTGTCAATCAGGGGGGGGGGGGCATGGTTCAGTGACAGTGCATCTGCTTGGCATGCAAAAGGTCCCAGGTTCAGGCTGTGGCATTTCCTGTTAAAATGATTAGGCAGTAGGTTGTGTGAAAGACCTTTACCTGAGACCCTGGAGAGTAGACCATAGTGACTTGGATGGACCAAAGTTCTGATTAAGTGTGAGGCAGCTTCATGTGTTCACTTTCCAGCACATCCAACAGAAACTTCCACTCATGCACAGTATTTTCTACATGGACCTCCATGTCATAGTAAGAGGCCCACAGTCCGAGCAAAACTGGATTCTAGTCCACCCTACAGTGTGACCCTCACAGGTATTGCCCTGGTGGGACCACTGCTAACTGCCAGGTAGAGACAAAATGGGTACGACAGCACCATCCAACCCAAATTTGTTATCTAAAGACACAACAATTAATTTCCTTCATAGATATCACCTCTGTGCACCGAAAGCGTATTAATGACGTCATATGGGATGAATTAAATGTTTGTTCATTTTGCCACCTTATATACGTGTGACATGTGAAACAGCTTATCCTAAGGAAGACCAGAAAGACAGAGTCTAATCTTGTGGTGCTTGCTCCTTTCCTTGGGGGAATGGGATCACTATAGGAGTGTGCTGAATGGGTTGGGCTCCCTCACTAAATCCGGCATGTTTTGCCTCTTCCCACTCCAGGCATCGGGCATCCAGCTCTACATCAGAACTTACCACCTGGCTTCCCAGCCTCTATGCCCAGTGCCATGCAACCAGTCTTCCCCCTGTCACAAGAGCCGCCTGCCCAGCTGGTCATCCTGCCATCTGAGCCTCCAGCTCACGGTGCCCCACACACACTGGGTAAGTAGCAGCTGGAAAGGGATTGGCTAGTAAATCCCACTTCTATTAATTACTAACTGGAGTGGGGGATAAGGCAGCACTGATGAGAGCAGATAGGCTTGATCCTCTTGGTTCATGGATCAGGAAGGACTCTTTCAGGTGGACTGCCAGTGTTTATCTCACCAATTGACCCACATGTCTCCCAGCAGCTGAGGTGATGGATCAGGCATCTATTTGGCCACCCATGTATCCTAGCCGGGGGCCTGGCTCTCACCTGCAGCACACAGGTCAGCTCCCGGTCTACTCCCGCTCCCAGTTCCTGCGTCAGCAAGAACTCTATGCCCTGCAGCAGCAACAGCAGCAGCAACAGCGTGCAGCACAGGCGATGGAAGTGCAGCGGCACACACACAGCCAGGTAAGCGGGTGGAGAACCAGCATAAACCCTCTGGGTGTCCAGCAGGACTCTCCTGTTGTGGGGTTGTAAAGGCAAAGCACTTCTTGCTTAGAAACCTATTCCCTTTTCTTTGGAGAACATGGATAATCAAAATGGAAAGGATCAAATGGTCATTTGATCTTGCTCCCTCCTGAATATCTCTGAACCACCACCTCTGTACCTTGTCTGAAAACAGGTCAGTTCACATAGTCCAGTCCAGAGGTTTGTTTGTGTTCGTTCTCTCTCTCTCTCTCTCTCTCTCTCTCTCTCTCTCTCTCTCTCTCTCTCTCTCTCTCTCTCCTACACACACACACACACACACACACACACACACACACAGAGTTTTGCAGAAAGATGACCGCACAGCAAATATCTGCAGATGACTCACCTAAGTAAGTCAGAATACATTCTGTCACGGAGGACAAAACAAAACAATCCATAGGTTCTTCAGTCAATGTGACCTGGCTCAAAATGTCATATATATTCAAATCCCAATGAGAGCAAAGGAAATAGCATTGTATACCGTTCCCTGCCACGCAGCATCCTGGCTTGTATTCTGTCATCGTTGTCAGCTGACAGAAGTGTCTTCCATCAGTGGAGAACAGTGTTGATTTCTGCTGCCCTCCCACTTTGCCTTGATACCTTTTTGTGAGGACCCTCTGATCCCCAGGAGCAGAATTGGGGTTAGGGCCTCAGTGGACTACACTGGGAGGGAGGGAGGGAGGGAGGGAGGAAGTCCCATTCCATGAGCTTAGTGCAACTCTTGATTCAATGGATACAAGCTGTATCTAGCTGTATTCATGTTTGTTATCCTAAGTGAAAATGGTGGTGGTTATTCCAAAGGGAAATGATTAGTACTTTGTGCGTGTTTAAATTCTGGAAGCGCCCGGGGGGGGAGGGGGACGACATACAGTATTATCCTGGGTTAAAGATTCAGCTTTGCTTGGAGCTTGGCTTTCCCAAAGACATATTTCTACAATTGTAAAGAGGGGCTTGAAAGAATGAAAAAAATGCCTGGTGAATTCTTGGAAACTTGGCTGAATAAGGGTCAAATGACAAGTGACAGAGGACACAGGTCCATTTTAAAAGCATGTGTAGTTTAAAAAAAAATAAACTGAGGTCCCAGTCCAGATTGGGGGTGTGGCATGGTGCCCCAGGAGCTCTTGTTACCCTCCTCCCCTTTTTCAAGTGCCAAAAGGCATGTGGTGGGGGTGTGGGTGGGGAAAGCTCTCGGGGCCACTGTGCTGCACACCCGATCTGGATCTGGGGTTGTGGCAATTTTTAAGGCACTACAGATGCTTCTAGAATGGTGTTGGGCAGGCATGGGATGGACCTCTACCCTCTGTAATTTGTAGTTTGGCTCTAGGACTTCCAATAGTCAGGGAATTGAGTTTTTTTACCTGCAGAACTTTTTGCCCTTCCTGTGCACAGCAAACTTAGTAAATTAGCCATAATATGCAGAATTCGTACAAGTTGCATAATTCATCGTTTCTTGGTTTAAAATTTTGTTATAGAATTTGTTCTTAGTTGGGGGGGTTTTGAGCACTCAAAGCCCTCTCGTAGTTCTGAATGAAAAACACAAGATCTCATCCAGCTATCCCTTAAAACCAGAGAGGTCCCTGTTCTGGTCTGATCTTGGAGAGGATAAAACTTAAACAAATGGTCACCTACTCAGTCTGAGCATGGGATCAGGGGTGGGGTATATTTCAGAGCTGGTGAGTAGAAAAAGGACACAGGAAGAGTTGAGGATATGGCAGAGACAGAGAGAGATGCTTCTCAGTCTCTTATGTAGAGTGCACAGAAGCGCCAGAAAGTTTTACTGGCTTTCACCATCTGTCGCTGACCTTCTTTCTCTCTCCCCATTTCAGCGGAAGCCTGAGGAGCCGCCCCCTGAGCTGGAGATGCCAGGCCCCGAGAAGCCACTCAAACCATCCCACAAAGCTGTTGCCTTAAACGCTCCCCCAAAGGGCCTGTCCCCAGCCGCTGCCTGCTCAGCCAAGCTTTCCCCATGCTGCCACCCACCCAAATGCCCTGCCCCCTGCACTTTACCTGTCTGTCCTGCTGTGGTGCCGCGCTCGCCAGCTGTAAGTCCAGTGCCCTCACAGAGCTCAACCGGTCCCGAAGCTGAGGGCAAACAGCCTGAAGGGCAGCCAGCCCAGGACTATCCCAAATCGCTGGAACCAGGTAGAGATTCATCGCAGGCTAGGAATGGGTGTGTGTGTGTGTGTTTGAGACAAACTACATGTGTGCAGCTCCTTTTTCTGAGAGACTCAATAAGGCAATCCTTTTGATGTAAGACTTGTTACCAAAACTCTGGCATGGACTCCTTAACAATTTTTCTGATGCATGCCCTGCCCTGGGCAAGAGCTATCCTTCGGCAAGGCTTTGATGTCAGCATGTAGCACTAATTATGGCAAACACAGCCCAAACCCGTTTAATCCAAACACTTGTTCATAAAAATGCAAGTTTCTGGTCCTCATTGGTGTAAGATGAAAAAAATATGATGTCATAGAGAGTGATGAACAGAAGAGCTTCTACAAGGCATGTAGGATTTTTAGGATCGAGATCTCAGCCTCTCTTGGTCCCTAGCCATTTTACCCTAACATCCCGTACCATTTTGTTTCCTGGGCATCTTGCAGAAGGGATATCTGCAAAAATCCAAACTATGTCACTGGAATGAATTGGCAAGGGATCATAACGTTTGTTTTGTATCCCCCCCTAATGTATTTACAGGATATGGAGGCATTCACATGTAATCTACAGGGACTGTGGAAGACCTTGGGGTCAGGTTACATGGCTCAGAAAGGGTGCCCTACTACTGAATGTTGATACGTGTTCTGTGTGGTTTGGAGAGTTCAAGAAGACACTGCCACAATGTGTGTACTGATGAGGTGATACTGTTAAGCCAGTACATATCGTTCTACTCTTTTTTTTCTCTTCCAACAGACCTTCCCCCTGGTTATTCCTATCCTGTGGCTGGACTGGGCTATGCATCACCGTTACCACTGGACCCAGCTGATCCTGACACTATGCAAACTGTTTCCACGGCAGCTGAGCCAGAACAGTCACGCACTTTCCCACCAGAGCAGGAGCCAGGCTGTGAGACAGAACCTAGCCAGTCCCATGGGGCTGTGGACACCGAAGCGGCAGAACCTTCCCATCCTCACCCTCCCCATCTCCTTGTGCATCCCCAGAAGCCAAGCTCTGCGGAACTTAACAAGGAGATGCCATGTTGCCCCCTGCTGGTCGGGGACAGCCCAGACAACTTGGACTCTGCTCCACAAGAACATCAGGAAGAGGCCAGGCCAGAGGTGGCCATTCCAGGGTCTTCCCCAGAGGTCATGGCTGTGGAGGACAGCCCACCTGCAACACTGGAAGATGGCTTCCCGGAGGATGAGAGTGACATTGGCTCGCCAGATGTCCCATCAATGCATACCGATGTACCATGTGGCCTGGATGCTCTCATTGCTGCCAGCATTGATCTAGGCGAGCTCCCACCTTTGGAGCCTCCAGCCCCTGCAACCCCCCTTCCCTTGCCTTCCTTGGGCAGTTCAGGGATTCCTGGCATTGCCCTGCTCAGTGAGCTGGCTGAACTGGAACTCCGGCAGCAGCACTGTGACACTGCCACCCACGGTAAGAAAGTGCAGGGCTCTGGTGGCTGCCTTTCCCCATTTCTCTCATTGAGGCAGTGAGTAGCAAGGGGAAGTGAAAAAGTGTCTTGTGATTCAGTGCCTTGTTGCATGCCTTCTTAATGATGTCTAAGGGCTGTTTGCTCTTCAGTAAAAGAGCAGTTTCTCAGAGGGCTGCAGAGACAGGGCCAGATTCTCCAGTGGTAATTGAGAAATTGGGAACATCTGCTATCCTATACCTGGTGCCTCCTGACTGGTGAGCAGGGACTTGATTGGGTGGCTCAGTGGTTGAGCATTTGATTTGCATGCAAAAGGTCTTAGGTTCAGTCCCTGACATCTCCTGTTAAAATGATCAGGTAGCAGGTGGTGTGAAAGTCTTCTGCCTGAGACCCTGGAGAGCCACTGCCAGTCTGCATAGACAATACTGACCTTTTGGGACAAATGGTCTGATTCAGTATAGGGCAACTTTGTGTGTGTGTGGGACGACAACCCATATATCAATAGCAGGGTCTACAATATGAAACAAAGGTAAAAGGCAAAGGTTTCCCTTGCTCGAAAGCCAGTCAAATCCGACTCTAGGGGGCGGTGCTCATCTCTATTTCCAAGCTGAAGAGCCAGCACTGTCCAAAGACATTTCCGTGGTCATGTGGCCGACATGACTAAACGCCAAGGTGCACAGAACGCTGTTACCTTCCCACCAAAGCGGTACCTATTTATCTACTTGCAACTTCATGCTTTCCAACTGCTAGGTTGGCAGGAGCTGGGGCCAGAGACCGGAGCTCACTCCGTCATGCGGCACTAGGGTCTCGAACTGCCAAACTACAGACTTTCCAGTCTGTAGCTCAGCGTCCTCACCTCTGAGCCACTGCAGCCCTCTTCCACAATATGAAATAGTGTTTATCAATTAGACATCAAGATTGTTCACAGTAGTAACATTTTTCTGGAGGGACAGGGTAGAGCCGGAAGTCCTGGAATCTTTTCTCAGAGCTTGGAGAGAAAGGTTTCAGATTTGCACCTTAGACAAATACAGTAGATATTTTTGAATCCATGGCCAGGGCAATCTCCTTTATTGTCTTTCATTAGGCACCTAATCTTATATTGGTGATTAAAGGATACATCTGCATCATTCTCCTGTGTGCTTATACAGCTTCCCCCCACTCCTGTTGCACTGCTCAAACAGCCCTGAGCAGTGTTCCCTCTAAGCTGAGTTAGTGTGAGCCAGCTCAGCTTTTTAGCCTCTGGCTCACACATTTTTGTCTTAGCTCAGGAAGGATGGCTCCAGAGCAAAGTGATCTATGCAGGAGCCAAATTGCTCACTCACAACTTTAATGCCAGTGGCTCACAAAGTAGAATCTTTGCCCACAAGACTCCGCAGCTTAGAGGGAGCATTGAGGCCAAGTTTCCCATCATCCAATTGAAAGTTGCAAGTCACCAGCAAGTCCACCTGTTAAGCCTCACTGCTTCTTCCCCAAGCACACCATTGTTTAGGAAGGTTCCTGACTTTTTCTTGTATCACTCTCATGAGAACCAGGCCTGACATTGCCCACTGTCCAGATTTCTTAGTCCTTCACACACACACACACACACACACACACACACACACACACAATCCAAAAGTTGTTATAGTGCTTTGGGAGGGGAAAAGAACAGCTGGGATCTCTTAAGTCAGAGTCGAAGGTTGCATGAGGGGCACTGGCATGAGGAGTTGGTATAGATGAGCTGTTCCCTCCTTATAACCCTATAGATATCTCCATGTGTTTGGTTAAGCAGTCCACTCTGTCAGATACTGCCTGGGCTTGTAAAGCAATCTTCACTCACACTGATTGCCTGATTTCAAAGTGCGTTTCTTACAGACTTTCATTGCTCCATTCTGCTTTGCACTAGTGGTTGGGTAACAGGCCACCCAGGCGGTTAAGGGATGGAAATACCCAAGCCATGCCACCGCAGTGGGCTCCTGGATGTTGAGAATGGTCCACTGTTACTTAGATGTGCTTTGATATGGAGTATGACTGCCCTGAGTGTTCTTTACAGAGTGAGTGTCCATTACCAACATCCTGGTGGTTAGCTACAGAAAAATCTGCCTTTGAGAATTTTTCACTACTAATTTTTTACCAGAAGGCAAGGCAAGAACCTTTGAGACAACTACCATAAGTTGCATGCAGAAAGTAATGGTTTGTGTGTGACGGGGGATTTTCCAATATGGACCTGGAACTGGGGCAAAACAGAGACTTGGGACGGACCTATTATTATGAGAATCTTGTAGCCCTGAGGCTTGGAAAATACATGTCCCATTCATCTGTGTTACCTAGTTTCATGTGGGAAGTAAGAGTTACCAGATATGAACACCTTCCAGCAAGAAACAGTTGCTAGGCCTCTGTTATGATGATGTCTCCTGTTTCACAGTCTCATCACCTCAGAGAACAAATTCTTCGTCATGCACAAGTATTCTGACTTTGCAAAAAGAATTCATCAGCAAAACAAAATCTATAAGAGTACTCCTTTGTTTGGTCCCTACACCTCTCCACTGCCTTTTGTCATCTCCCGCCTCCCCAGCAGAGAGGTGTACACCAACCCACATGTGCAGATGGTTATCACCCCCTGTGGCTACGCAAAGTCTGTTCTTTTCATCTATACTCGAACGGTTACTGCTCACACACCGGAACCGTTTATTGCCCACAGTGGAACGGAAACCACATATAAGGACTCCCCTGCATGCCCCCTCACACGTGTGTTCAGGCACAATCATAAGCACCTATTCTTGTTCCCAAACATGACCCACAGAGCAACAGCCAGATAAGGTCCCTATTCATGCTTTTCAGTCACACTTAAATTCTCTTACAGCTAGGTAACTGCATTGCTCTTAATTCCCCCTTGCAAAGAGATAATGGTATCTCATGAGGCCCCTCTTTCCCCTAAGTTCTACCAGTGCTGGCTCTGAGTTGCTGGCCCTTGGCTTGAATTACCTTCTCTGGCCTCCTCTTGAGGTATGTGGCATCCCAATAACTTCCCTCTGCCTGGATGGAAGTGTGGTATGTGCCTGAGATAAATAGGGCTGTATGCCTGTTGACTTTGAACACTGGTGTATGGAGAACAGGACAGGCAGGAGCAAGTTATGATCAGGTTTTTCTTGTAAGCTGTCCCAACTCCAGAGCTTGTTTAATGAGGAAAGTGACTAGGTTACTACCGCTCTGCTGTCTCTTTAGCAAGGAATTAGGAAGCCAGACATGTCTAAGGAAGAAGCAGAGAAACTAGCTGGAGTTTTCCTGGAAAATCAGATCCATGGTACACAGGCAGTCGTGCAGACCAAGTCCAAGATGCATTCTGAGACCCAATTAGCGGAGGTTTCTGTTGACTCAGAGAGGATATATAGCTGACACCATGGAGTACTGGTAGCTGTGATTGTGGATGGCTTTTTTTATTTTTTTGAGCCTGAATATATACGCTAAGTACTAAAGACTGAGATAGGGGTGTGTGAATGGTCTCTGATATGTTTAACATATCCTACCCTTTTGTTGAGAATGTTCTTCCCCCAATAATAACCTTTCACTTTTTCAAAGTGTTGGATGAAGATCTAGCGGCATTCAATCTGCAAAGCCTAGCCACTCTTGCTGCAGCCTGGGCCCTTGTTGAGGCTACTGGCCAGGAGGGCAGCCTTCCTGATCTCCGCAACCTGGCAGATGCTGCACCATGCATTAACCTGCGCCCTCGCATGCGGGTGTCCCGCCGCAAATACATCTGGACCCCAAAGACCAAACCAGTAAGTATCTTGCAGCCAGGGTACTCCAAATCAATTGGTGGAGGAGTTTGCCAGAAAAGAGGCTCCCCTCCTGTCTTCCATTGTCCCAAACTCTTTGTATTTTGGGTGCCAGTCAGGACTCTCAGAAGCTTTGTGTTCTGTCAGTTCCTGATCCGCAGGTCTACTTTAAATCTTGTGTGTTGTGGCTCTGCTCTGAATGTGGCCAGGTGCCAGAAGAATTAGTTGGGGTCATGGGGTTTCTCCATAGTACCTGACTGTTTTCCCCTCATTTGGAGTCCATATTTTTCACCCTCAAGACTCAGTGAAATGAGGCAAGAGAACCAGGCTATTATGGGCTAGACCCTGGTTTGTCAGCATCTTTGTGTCAGACTTCTGGCATGTAAGTGGAAGCCTTCTAACCCACCCTCACTTCAGAAGTCCACTTAAGTCTTGGGTCTGCTACAGGAAAGAAAAGAGAGGCTTTGCCAAAATTAGGAATGAAATAATAGACAATGAGAGTGTGTGGTACATATGCCATGACACTTTCCTTCATAACTGAAAAGTGCCTTCGGTATTCCCACAGGTTTGCCCTCTGAAAGCAGCCATTGAGAACTTGGACACCCAAGAGGTAGAGATGCGTACACAGCTGGCAGAACTGCAGCGACGCTACAAGGAGAAACAACGGGAACTGGCCAAGCTGCAGAGGCGGCATGATCATGAGTGAGTCTCAACTTCCTTCATCTTCCTGAACAGTTTCCTAGCGAGTTGGGTCTGCCTCCTTGCCCAAACAAATTTGGATGGCAAAATGGTACCATGAGAAGAGCAAGGAGTAAGTCTTGGAGTAAGTCTGTCTACAGCATCTGAAGGCCAAACAAACAAGTGACTCACTTGCACCAAGAGTTTAAAGTAGATATGCAACCACATCAAATGAATGCTTACACAGACCCCAACATATAGGAGTGTGGAAAGTTCTTACCCTTTTTCCTCTGTGTTTATGGTGATTATTGCTTGCAGGCGAGATGAGAGTTCCCGCAGTCCAGCTCGACGGGGACCAGGACGACCGAGAAAACGCAAGCACTCCAGCACTCTCAGCTCACTGCGGCAGGGTTCGGTTAGCAAGAGTGACAGCAGGAAGGTCAAGTGAGTGATCAGGCATGACTTGTGGGAGAAAGGGAAACATAATGCCATAGCACTATCTATCCGAACTTGTGAGCAAGTGCATACATACGTGTGCCTTGCTTGTGGTAAAGGCAAGTTTTGCTGTATGCTGTGTGTGGCATTGGCAAACAAGTGTTGCCGCTGTTCATCTGTTAAGGATGAGGAGGAGCCTTTCAAGGGAAAAGCCTGAGTCAGAAGGGGGGGGGGGGGCTCTCAGTCTTTCCTTAATCCACTGCCCATAACTGCTTCCCCACAAGTGTGCTTTTCTCCCCGTTGGACTCATTTTCAGTCTCGAAAAGGGGCCAGAGTGAGAGAAAGAGGCAGGAAGCAGGAAAGGAAAGGTTTAGTAGCTCTCTATGGCCTATCACTTTTCCACTTGAAATTGTGTAAACCCCCCCCCCCCCCATTTCACTCTTTACTGGTGTATGGTGGTGATCTGTGTTTGAGGACATGGACTTGGCACTGTTGTCGTCGGTATTTCTGTCTCATATTTACCAGGGTGGTATTGTGAAAGAGATTAATTGCCTTTTTGAGACAGCAACTGCAAGAAGAGAGAGAGTCTGTATGTGTACACAGGGCATTGTGGATATATGATTGTATTTTTGGGAGAAAAACATCTGTATGTTTCAGTATGGGGACACATCACACTTTAGATTTTTAAAATGCAGGAAGCAATATGATTTACTACTCTGTATGGATAATTCATACATGCCTGCTCTCCATTGCCTTATTGAGCATTTTTGTACTGCAGAATTCAGTACAAATTCTTAGCACAAGAGACAGAAACACCCATTCCACAAAATCCTCTATATCCAATTCTGAGCATGGCCACAGAGGGAAGACTTAAGTCCCACACAATCAAGCCATGTACAGATAGTGGAAATTTGTCTACAGACTTGAGGAAACTTTCAGCTTTGCAGAAAAATCCCAAAACAATTCTGAAGATCTTGTTAAGTGCCATGAGATATTACAGGGAAAGGTAGGTAGAGGTGGGAGGCTTGTAACAGAAAGCACTCTCTGCCACCCACCAGCTGATGGGGAGGGGGCCTGGAGATGCATTGCCCTGTACTTCTCTGACCTAGTCTTCCTCCATCATTTGGGCAGCAGTGATGGGGGAGGCAGCAACTTGGAGAAGAGGAACAGAGAAGTGGCCATGGGAGAGGAGAAAGTGTTGATGGGAGGGTATGGGGTGAGCAAGAGAGGAAACAGGGGCTAGGGGGATGAGATGTCCCCTATCTTGAGTACATCCTTTGTAGGTCTCTTGCTTGTAATCCCCTCCCCAATTCTAGAATAATATAGCATAATATTATCGAACATACAAAATGCTTGTTTGGTGTGTAAATGGTGGTGATAACGTATTTTGATATCAAGATACTGGGGTGGATACAGCCGTCCTCCAACTTTTCCTCAAATAGAAGAGCCCTTTAAGTTGTTGGAAGCCTCCTTAGACTGGCGGAAGATTTCAAACTTGAGTTTGAAATGAATGAATAAATAAACTTTTCTCAGTGGAGTGGTAAGATAGGGGTAGGATCCACCCACTCCGTATTCATAGCTGTTGTCTCCTAGAAGCAGTTGCATTTCAGCACCAAGTGCAGGGCTTCCCTGGAATGTAACAGTGGACAGCAAAATCTTGGGAGATTAACTGGGCTGGAATGTTGCCTGTTTCACTGTGCTCCCCACCCCATGTCTCTCTTGCCTCCTGCACTTCTGTGGGGGAAGAAATGCCCCTTTTTGAAGAGGAAGGCAGCGTTGCATAAAAGCCTCTTTATCTGTGCTGTATAAAGTCATTGGTCACGCTGCAGTGGTGTTCATTGCTGCTGGCGCTTTATGATTATCCATTAGCCGCCCGGCACAGTCATTCCCGCACTCACGGGCCCTGTATAATTGTCCTTCTCTGCTACAAATTGCCTCTCCCGGCAGGCCCATTTGCATAAATCCTCCGAGCTAGTCCAAACATGATTGGAGCACGCGTGTGCGCGCTGCATCAATCCTGATGATTTGGTAATAATAGTTAAATCTGTACTAAATGGTTCCTTCAATTAAGACAGAAGAAAAAAATTAATCTCTAGGTTTTATGTCACAAAACATTAGCAAATGTAGTGAAGGTTACAGGGGGAAAAAAAGCAGTTAGTGTTGGCTTTGGGTTGCAACATGGCTCCGCCATATGGCTTATGGAAACCTTCCAGGGCTTGGTGGAGATCTTGCTTGCATTCTCCCATTCCTCCCTACAACCTTCACCAATATACAAGAATTTATCCTGGGGAAAAAGGATTCCTCTCCCTTCCCCAGTGCTTGCAAAATATGTGTGGGTTAATGTAAAGTTAAATTCAACAGGGAGCCCACTGTTGGCTGCTTTGGTAGAGAGTCCTTGCCCTTACATTACTAAACTATCCAGTGACATCTAAGGAAAAAGGGTGGAGGGGGTGGAGTCAGATAAGTGCTACAAATGGGACCCTAAATGACATTCTTTGCCCTGCTGCATTTTTAATGTACATTTATAAGATTCCTGAAGCTGCTTCACCAGGGTGTGTTCACAGCCAAATTTTAACAGCTATGTTTCCCTTTTGAATTATGGGATTCCATTCTTTGAGTTCCATTACCTCCCAGATGGCGCACAATAGCATTCAAAATTCCCAGTTGCTTGCAAAGGAAATCCAGAGACACAAAACTCTTCCACATAGAGGAAGGGACTAATATCTCGGGCCAGCAATATACCAAGTAGATATGTTACATGTTTAGAGACTTGAGGAAGGGATGTCTATGACATACGCACTCTAATCAAACATGTTGCAGGTTTTCTTGAGGTGCTGTACGAACGTGCAAAACATTCGACCATTCTGCAGCATGGATAGTGATGGCTCTGTCACACTGCCTTCAGGTCTCTTTAGTGGCAAATTATGCCAGCACATTCCAACAGTGGTATCGTACAAGTAATGTAATCTAATATCAGGGGGATTTAAGTTGGGATTGTGGTTGTGAGTGTATATTATGGCTACCAACTGCCTGGAGGAAAAACAACCTGTCCATTTAATAGAGTTTTAAGAAAATGTTATTTACCTCCATGCCATGAAAGCGCAGGTCATTTTTCTCCAGGCCTGTTGGCAAGCAACCCTAGTGTATTTACAGGGCATAGTTATCTCTCCCCAGTTTTTAGTCCTTTGAGAAGTATTATGGCATTAATTAATTGTAATTTTAATAATAACTAGGAGAAGTGTAAACTCATTTAGAAGCTTCTTGCACAGTGGACTCACTATGAATACTGCTAGTATAAAAGGCCACAAAAACAGCAAAAGCCAATGGCACATTCTTCCATATGCCACAGTTGCCTCTTGCTTACACTCTTATGCTGTGCTGTGTCACAGACACACAAATATGTTTGTAATTTATATTTGCTTATTATAGCTGTGTTCGCTTATTATATTTGCTTATTTATTCATTCATTCAATTTATACCCCACCCTCCCTGCCAAGGCAGGCTCAGGGCGGCTTATGCCACAGCACATCCTTATAACTTGCATGAATATGCTCATATGCAATCGGGCATTGAATCCACCCTTCCCACAGGTCAAACTTTTACAGTCAGGCTCCCAGAGAGAGGATAATACTGCCGCCCACGAGACTCAAGTGCGCACCTGATTGCTGGCATGCATTATTTTTTGTCTTGCTCATTTGCATGCTGACATATGCACTTGCCTTGTAAAGCTGCCCCAGCAAACAACTGTGGCATAGGATTCCCCCGTTATGTGACGAGCCAAGGCTTCCACCCATAGTGGCATCCCTGCCATGTCTCAGGCTGCAGTTTTTGGCCTCATTTGAGGGACACAGGCTCCTACAGCAGATGGAGGCCCAGCCTCTTGGCCTTCTTCCTATCAGGAACATTCCTGTTCCTTGAGCTTCCCATGCTGAGCAGAGCCTCCTGCCAAACTTGCCTGCCTCCAGCCACTCCCCGGAACTGCACTGTGGCCTTGAGCCATGGTAATTCTGTGTCAGAGTATGTTGCGGGGTGGCAGCTGGGGGGCTTGGCCTTCGAGAGAGCACTTAATTGCTGGCTGTTCCAGAGCCAGCCTGTTCCTTTTTCCGCCTGTGGCTCTTTGCCTGCTTCAGGGTGCTCTGCTCCCTTCCCATCCCTCCTCTTAACCAGGGAATTCCCTCCCTCCTTTCCCGCTGGCTGCAGCCGCCAGAATGGAATTTGGCACCAGCTCCAGGGTTGACACTGGGTCAAAAGGTTGCAGTACAGGGGCAGGGCCTGAGAGAGGAGTGTGAACAGAAGCTGTCTTGGGAAGAAGGGGGTTGTGCAGTCTCAAACCCTGGGCTGGATTCCCAGGGTGAAGCAAACTGAGGCGGCTTTTCTGGGTGCTGGAGTGGAGCAATTAGAACTAACGAGCATTTGAGATCAGAGCGGGCAGGCATCCAGCAGTGGGGGATGGGGAAAAGCCTTCAGGGAGCTAATTTGTTCCATATTTACTATGGTAGCAGGACAAGTTGTAACAGCATTGCCAGACCCGAGTGGGGCAGATCCTTTAGAAGGTGTTAAAAGGTGACCCACCCCAGATAAATCCAAACCCAGTTTTTGTTTCTGTGAGTATGTGGTGAGGGTCCTCTCTCTTTCTGTCTCCCTCTCCCTCTCCCTCCCCCTTTTCTTTTCTTGATTTGGGCTGCTTGAAATATAATACAATGCTGCCTTTGCTGCTTCTTTCCTTTCGCCCAGCATCAAGCAACACATCCCTTCATTGCTTCTTTAATGTGCCAGATGGGATCAATCCTCCTCACATCCTCTCCATTATGCCAGTCCAAACTGGCTGCATACTGTCCCTAGGAATATACAGGAAGAGAGCAAAGCTTGCAGAGAGAATCCTGGAGTGCTCCTCCTATGGATTTTACTGAGCTTTTCTGTGGAAGAGCTGGGGGGGGGGGGTTGTAGAGCAACCACCTCAGTCCTTTGAGCATTTGTACATTGAGTCTTTGTGTGTGCTACGTTTCTGT